ACAATGGCGTGGAAGAAAACAACGTAGTATTCCAAACCCGTGACATTTGTATCATGTTTCGTGAAATAAAGAGGGATATTGGATTAATAATCCGTACATTGGGCATACCACATTGATTTTACGTTATTCATATTTATTCAGTTCCGACAAAAATCAAGCCAAATTATTATATTGCAACTTTAATGTGGATAAAAAAAATTGTATTATAATGTACATAGGCTGGCGCACTGCCGTGCAAAAGCAGCAGTCGGCTTTGGTTTTGCAATTAACAACTGACCTCGTATAATATATATGTAAAATGTAATGTATGTATTTATATGTACATACATGTGCATAACCGTTAACATATGACAGTTTTGACATGTCATTCTATTTCCTATTACGAACAATTGGTTAAGTGTATTTACATATGTACATGAATGCAACCAATAGGTTTGGGTTATCCATTATTTATAATTGACAACTATACTTATCCAAAAGATGTTTAATATGAATGTTTAGCTCAAGCAGAACTAAAAGATATTAATTATTCATAAATTATACACTTTATAAAATTCTCTAGAAATTCAAAAATTATGTCACTCAAAGTCCATCAATCAGTGTCCACTTTACGCCAAAAGTTTTTCAGTATGTGTACGTGCGTCTTAATTTCTTCACTGCCAAAATAAAACGATTTGTGGATTAATAATCCGCTGAACATTGTTCAGTTCAACCCCACCGATAAGTACATAAATATCATAAAAACTTAAAACTAAAATGATCTGCATATTATTAGCTCACCCTGCGTAGCACGGGAGCTATTGAATTCTTCTTGTCCGTCCGTCCGTCTGTCTGTTAACGACCTTTTTGCATCAATTGATGCTAATTAATAAGTCCCTGCTCCATTATTACACGACTCAGGAGCACCACTGGTATCAAACAATTGTCGACGCAAATGGTTCAAGTTAATTCAGCAAATAGACCGAGATAGGACTATAATTTTGGAATAAGTAGCACCGTTAGTACCGAGCAATTGGTTATTAAAAATGATGCGTAGCAATTGGGCCATCTATTTCCCCCAAAAAAATCATGTCAGATTTCTGTTCTATTTATTCGATTATTCTGCACCATTGACGCTAAAATATATACATTTTATAATAAATAATTGGGGAAAGGATGCCCTACGCACCAATGATGCAGAATGCCGGGAGAAAGGACCATAAAATTCTTTCAAGGTTTTCAAAATTATGTATGCAAATTGGTCGCCAATGCTGCACAAGTGGTGCAAACTATTTCGGACTTTTTGTTTTTTTTCGTTTATGTTGCACCATTGGTGCAAGAATATATGCAAATTATAATTTATTTTGTCGGCTTATTCCGGCTTATTCATAGTATGTCTAAATCAGTATGATATGGTGAGGTACTTCTAACGTTACAACGGTTTATTGAATTTCCTACTTGTTTTATTATCCTGTTCTGTAAACTGTCAGGAAACCAACCTCGAAACAACACTGGCCAACGTTGTGGCCGCATTTCAACACTGTTTCGTCATAATTGGAGCCTCTCACAACAATTCATTACAGAATGACACGACTCTCCCCAATTCTCTCCCACTCTATCAGACACACCCAATTTCTCGCGGCTGCCTCGCAAAAATTCTGCATATTAAAGCAGAAATAAAAATTGATCTCTTCCTCAGATTCGATATAGTCCCTGAGCAGAATACGATCCGGTTGAAGCACACAGCAAAGAATTCATGTCTCGCATTCATAATTTTGAATCCAGAACGCCCCTATTTCGGCGAAACCTGCTTCGATGTAACGACAATACCAGGAACTAAATTACCGGTAGATCCTCTCTTTAATTTATTCCTCCGATATGACAATTCAGAAAATCATGTTCCACGCCATACTATTTTCGTGACAGAATCATTGTAGCCGTACAATCGACTACACTTAAATGCACTCGTTCTCTGCCTAATAATGATCTCTGTTTGGTAAATGCTCCCAACAATGAATGTGTCGACGCTGCAGGTTTAACAAATGAAAAGATCTTTATTTAGAATAGTCACCGAATATCAAATTGACAAGTATCAAATTTAGGAGAAGACAAAGAGTGTGTGTTGCCACACGAAAGGACAGATCGAATCTTAACGTAAAGAATTGTTCTTCACAAACTCTTGGCCACTCGGCCCACAATTCAAGTTCATTGCCTACCTGGTTTACCTTGATTTTAACCTTGGTTGAGCCAATGAGAACAAGACACATTTTAGAATGTTCCAGAACATTTAGTAATAACCAATCAGATACACAATATTTATCATAGTCACAATTAAACAAATATTAATATAATTAAGTCGGGTGAAACTGCAGGATTGCTGGCGCTCACTTAACTCAAATTTACATACTCCGTTCTTTTCATCTCACATACACAATTCACAATTTAAGATGAAAGTCATTATTTGGGGCGTTCGGCAACAATCATCAACCGTGGACAAATTTAAACGAATTTTTTCCCCTGTTTATCCCGAAATGTTTTTGGTTTCGTATAACAAGAACGAGCCAGATACATCCGGACTCTGGTTTTCGAACAGGTTTCACTCAAGAATGATGACTGACCCCTGGATGTCGATAAGTTGTGCAGGATTTTCAAATATTTCAAGCATTCCGTGTCCAGGTGTCATTGCCCGCGTATTGCAGAATATTTATTCTTACAATAAATTTTATTGGGTGCCCTTGATTAAAGAAAGGCTGCGTTACGAACGAAATTCAAACGTCACAAAATTCATTCAAAACTACATATCACTTGGAAACCCTGGGCACGCCGAGTGGTACGAATTACTGAGGAAAGTTAGTATAGAAGATGTCTTAAATGTTTTGCTCTTCTCGGAGACCGGGTTCTTCACTCATCTTAAATTGGGACCGTACGAGTTCAGAAGTTTATGGATATTTACCCCGTTCTACAATGAAAGATTCGAAAAACTAGATTTTACTAGGTGGACCACGTCTTCGTACAATTTTCTGTCTTGCCACAACGTAAAGAGGAGACAGTTCGCCATTTATTCGTTTCCGTTTGACAGCACGACCTGGATATTGATAGGGTTCAGCCTTCCCGTGATATTTCTGGCAACGAAAGAAAATTCCAAAACAGACCTTCTTTTTGACCTTATCGTTCTAGCAGGAAACCTCATCGAGATATCAAATTCCCAAAGAAAGCAGCGTCCTATCAACCTATTTCTGCTTTGGGTATGGATATTTTGCGCCATGGTGCTAACCACGTGGTATAAAACGCTATTCACGTCCGACGCGATTCAACCATTCGAGACATACGCGGACTGGAAATCGGCCCTTGATTTGATCGGGTTTCAAATTCTGACACCGCTCGAAGACAGCGATACGGCGGAAGAGGAATACAAACTTGGAAACCCTTACGCGTATAGGGCACCACTCTTAAACGTTTTAACGTCAGGGTTGAAATCGCTTAAAAAATTTAAGGAAGTGGAAAACTACATTTACGAACAGTGGAAACCCTACAGCGGAGAGAGTTTTGGATATCTTCATTACAAATATTGGGAGCATTTTATCAATAATGTGACCAACGAGAAGATGGCGTACGTCGACACTTCGGAAAATATTGACAACCTTTTGCCATTCATTAATGAAAAGGGGAAACATTTTAATGCCAAATTTTTGAAGGGGGAACATTTATATCCGGACTTTTTAGAGAGCTTCCAGCACTGGAGGTATTCTAGAGTTCGGGATAGTTTTGTTGGTAATAGGTTAACGGCTTTGGTAACATCGGGGATTTACTTGCATTGGGAAACTTGGTACAAGAAGTATCGACCTGTCAAGTTATTTTCGCATTATGCAAATTCTGAAGGGGCGAACCTTCCTAAAGAAGGTGGAGATTTTGATAAGTTGAATATGAACTCTAAAATTGTGACGGCGTTTTACATATTTTATGGTGGAGTCATTATTTACGTGACTGCATTTCTGTTTGAATTGGGAGCATGGGTATGGATTTACTGTTACGGATGTAAGCAATTACTTGCAAGAATAAGAAGGAAGTGGTTCCTAATGTGTAGGTTAGAACTTGCGAATCGCGCTCAATTTATATTAAATTTACTTTTTGAGTGTTTGATTTTTTGAAAAAATCCTGCTGGACCGTTACCGTTTATATATGTACATACATACTGTAGGACGCTACAGAACACACCCTACATTACCAAAGTCGGCGGATATTTGTAGATTTCCAAGACGTCAGACCATCGACGAAGACTATAATTTCCCACTAGAGTTAGTTAAATTTCAGTTTTTCGGGAACTTATTTCTCTATGCATTTATATCTGTACATATCTAGTAATATAATGAGGCAATATTGCTGCTAAAGGGGCATACTAGAAATGCATTTGTATTTTGTAATAGCTTTGCAGTCACTACATGTACTAATGAATTAAGCAGGTCGACCCATCTCTCCTCGTCTATATACCATACATACATATGTATGTATCTATGTACACCACACACGAAAAACCGTACTTTTGCATACGTACATACATATGTAAGTTACCTATATAGCGATTTCCTGTCTCATTTCACTATTCATGCAAATTCCCAACTTACTTTTACACTTGTTATGCACTCAACTATTTACTTTTATATTTAGATGTAAATCTGTAAACATTTACATATTTACAAATATATATGTAAGTATATAATAATATATAAATTATTTACATATAAGTATGTACATATGTACCTTTCGCCAATAATGTGTCATGCATTTAATCATATAATGTTCAAATACTACAGGAGAAGAAGTGCGATGAATAAATTGAGCATGTCACACACGTGTCAATCAACATATCCAGGAATACTCATACATACATATTTTTCAGTGGCTTGTGCGTGAAGCATAATCATGACAAAGTCTGTTGCTAAAAATAACACTTACTTTGCATTTGCATATACATAGTAAAAAAGCAGGAGACCGTTTTGTTTGCACTCAATCTTATCTTGAGTTGTGGTGCGATTTTCTTAACGAGACATTTTTAAAGTACAAAACAGATGATGGATGAAAATTCAACACTGACATATTCAAGGAAATAAAATATTCAGTTCTGTGTTTAATAAATAGTCTACCTAAATATGGAACCTGGTTTCATCGTTACTTTCGATGGAATTTGTTCCATTCAGTTGTCAAAAAACAATTTAATCCGTGTCAATGGAGTCCCGTCTCTACCAAACCGTTTAATTGATTGTGTCCGCGTAGCAATTAATTCCGGATGGGTGAAAGGTCTGTGCAACGAATCGGTGGAGTTTGGTGCGCACGAGTTTAATTTAAATGGTTCGCCTTGGTATGGAAAGAAAAGCGATGGGGTAGCTGCACGCAGGTAATTTTCAAATTTAAAAATTTAGTAATTACGCGTCCTGTGTAGACATTGCACACAGTCCTTGGAAGCAATGTAACTTCTGAAAATTTACATTACGTAACTACACATGTACATCATCACTTTGGAAGCTTACAAATTTTGTAAATTTACCTCAATTTACGTTTTTTAGTTTATATACATAAGTTCGTAATTTACGTAATAAAATCTACGAATTTTTCAAGCTATTTACAATTGATAGCGTAAATTAGCTATTATTTTAATTAATTATACATGTAAGTAGATTGGTTATTTAAAAAAATAATTTGCATTATAAATAATTACTTACACAGAGTATCATACATGTGCCTTAATTGTTTAGTAAATTCTAAATATAAATACATACTCAATCTTCTGTGACTTATTATTTTCGTAAATTCTTCCATAAATTTCAGACTCCTCGCCGCAATCTTGTTCCAGTTGGCGAGAGAGGGTTGGCAAATATTGCAAAGTCTGGACCCCACACGCAAGCAGAACGACAAGGACACCATGTTCTTTGAAATCGCGAAGCCCGATCCACACGCAGAAATTTTCGTCATGAGTTTCAACAGGTTTGACAGAATTAGGTGAGATGCTTATACAAGGGTCCCATCATATGTGAAATTGCATGAAACACATTTGTACATACATAATTTGAAAGAATTCAAGATTGGAAAAAAATCTACTTATCCAATTTCTACGCAATGTGATAAGGGAACTGTTTTTTAATAAACATTCATTAAAATACGATGCAATGTGCAACAATTATGATTGTACTAGTTTGGCTAGAATTTAGCCTGAATTTTGGTTCGTTCACCTGCTACCAATTGCTTTGACTGCTTTGCACACTCTTAAAAATAATGAAAGTAAATGCACTATGACTTCTAAATATATTAAGTAAAGTCAACTAAATCCAGAGTATAATTATGTCGACGAAGAGTAAAGTTTACACTGGATTTAGTATAGTTTACTTAATTCATGATCCACAGTGCATTTACTTTTATATGTAAGTCATAACATTATTTTTAATAGTGAGATACACCATGAAAATCCAGTTTAAAAGACGCATTTTGTATCCTTCATACCGTACTGTTCGTTTAGGCTGATTAATCCACCAAATTCGAAAGTTGTGGACACCTTTAAAGCCACCGTGAGTAAAGAATGGCCTCCTGGAATATGTGGACAACGAATCTACTATGGTGCCGATGAGCTCGAATTGTTTGGTAATCCGTGGGCGACCAGAAAAAAGGAGGAGAGCATTGCGGCCAAACAACTCGTGGCACATTTAATCTACGCCATGAAACGGATCGGGTACAAACTCTACGCCGCTGTAGATATTACGGGAAGGATACAACCGGGAAATAGTAACAGTAGGAAAAATGGTAGTTTGGATGTCTTAGCTTTTAGAAAAGTGTCGCAAATATGGGGAAATTGAAAGATCTCCCTGGCTCAAAAATCGTTGGGTAGAAATTATGAGGAAAATTTAAAAAAGTTTATTTTCTGATTAAGGACTTTAATATTTATATTGTTGTAACACGTGTTTGATAGATTATAGCCAATAAAGTCGAATATATGGGATTAGAGTAGAGTTGGAAGAGCTTGCAAATTGAATGAAAGAGTTTCATAACAATGAAAATGGAATTCGAAATTGCAACAGCCTTAGTTTCGGGCGTTTTCATGATTAAGACGCAATTTCAGCAATCATTTTAGCATGATTCGAAATGATTTTTTGAGAATATGTGAGATCATACATCCATGTGTATACATATGTAAGTATATAATGCAGCTGCCTTATACAAATTATCACGGACTTATTTTAGTCTGTACTGGAACAATAAAAAATGTTTGATTTTCAAAATTTACAAAGAGCTTTACTTATTTTGCAAGTTAAGTTACCAACATAAAAATTTTAAAAGTATGGACATATGCAAATATGTACATTTGTATACATGTAAACATCCCAGGGTCACCATTAATATTTACTCGAGGATAAGTTGCACCATTAAGTTGACCCAATAAACCGGCAGGCGGCAATATGCAAAACTTTGAGAATTTTCGTAACGATTTTGCCGAAATTTTTGTTTCTAGATAATTACTCTCGAGTAGATAATTGACTGTACCCGTAGTATACCTTTTGTATATTGCATCCTTTTCAAATTTTGTTATCTCGGCACACCTTTTTAAAATTGTTGATGCTTGCGAAATATTTCGAAATTTAAGGAAGAAAAATTTTTTCCCGAAAACACCACTTGCAATGCGATAATGATCGACAATTTCTCAGTATTTTACGTCAGTTAGCAAATTTATTGGTAAGTTTTAATCGTAATACTAAATATCTACAGACATCCTACATAACGTGCATACATGACTACTCGTAAAATGTCAAGCAACAATCGATTTTTTGCAATGAATTCGTACACAAGTTTCGACTAGTGACGGATATTTAGTCGGTGCTATTAACCAAAAATAGGGTACGGGTATTTTTCTTCTAACAGTGATAAAGATTGACAAATTTGGATGATTTTCTGTAGTACGGACTACATAAAATTTCAGGTCAAACTTTTTCGTTATGACGATTTTCTGTATGGTGTATGTATATCTTTAGGTAAGTAAGGGTTGCAAAGGAAGTTTGCTAACTAACTTTTCTCATTGCAAAATATCTGTGCACCATTGCGTAACATTTTACCCACCTGTACATATATACCTATATTTGTATGCAAATTATTGCAAATCCCACTATTTAGCTTTATACAACTAGTTTATATGTTTATACCATACATCTGAAATTTTTCAGAGTAAATTATACATACAAACATATAAATTACATACGTAGTGACATTTGTTCTATCGCGCTTATGTGTAGACCCTTCAAAATTTTTGGGTACGACGAAAATTTCGCAATAGGTTCTCACGAGACCAGTAACACATAAAATCGTTATTCACCCACTTCTCCATTTCTGTACTAATTCCTACATGTATCTACTGAATAAAGCTCCTCTCGATTCCATATAGCTGGTTATTTCAACCTACATACCTACTAAAACCCAAGTTACCCAAACATTTGCTGCAAATTTTCTTTTACATATGTGTATAGCTTTACTATTTAAAAAGTTCTGAAATGATTTTCGGAATTTTCGTACTATTTATAACAATTGATTGCCTTTACGGAAACGCATGTCCAGCTCTTAGTATGCCTGATATACTATCCTTACTCCCTGACTGTACACCGCATTACTTCGTTGTTAAAACCAGCCAAAAATTCTTCATTGCACCTTCTGTACACGGTTTAAATATCCCAACAACATTATCATTCAGTGACGGAACATTATTAGAAGTCAAGCCAGAACAAAGCTACAGGGTTTTCCACGATGGGACACATCTCCGCAAAAAACTCTGCTGGTTCTTAATTTTCTACTTTGACCGTCTGCCTTCGACATTAATAGCGTTAGAAGACCTGGTGAAAACTTCCGTGCTAAAGTATTTTAACAGGTTTCACATGAACGCACTTGATGAACTCGAGAAGTCGCGAAACCCAGAAAATATTTTCACCATTCTTGTAATTCCAGCTGTGGAGGAGAGGGAAAAACTTTTCACTTTTCTAAAAACGCACATACCCGATCTAGCGGTAGTTTTAACATTCAATAGCGGTAAATCACGCACCATTGAAATTTGCTGGCCAGCAATTTCTGAGACTTGCAGATTCAACCCGTCAGCACCTAAAAATTGTAATTTAGCCGCCGCTCTAAAAAATATTCCTCCCCCGAAGGAATGGTATTATGATCGGAAAGATGACGATGAATATTCTGAAAAAGAAGTGTTTCTTAAATTTGGTTCAAAAGGGAGGAATCCGTTCGAAATGTTGGAAATACACGACTACATCGTTTACACAATAACCAGAAAAGTTAACGCGTCGCTATATAATTACACCCCGAAAGGAGCATCGGGGACATTAAGAAGGGAACAAGTGTGCAATGCGAGTACCCGAGAGATTTGTCCAATCCCACGAATAAGGTGACTTATGTACTTTTAAAATATGTAGATGTATTTTTATTTTTATTTATACGCTTAAAAATAACACAACTCATCTAAAAGCAATTTAAATCCACGCTGAATCTGATACTAGAGTAAACTAAATATACTACATCCAGGGTAAGCTTTGCTCTTTATCAAATTAACGTGACCCTGGATTTAGCATACTTGACTTATTTTAAAATTTAGAAAGGATTTCTTTTGAAAAATATCAAGGTATGTACGTTGAATTTTACAATTTTGTGTTCCCAGGTTTGACAAAAGCTATTTGTTCTATATCGGACGGACATTGGCAAGTCCTGCAATTATTTCAACAGGATTCTCCACGTATCACTTTCTTACGTGCTTTTCTGAAAAACGAGTCAGCTTTTGGTTTTACTTGGTCCCTTTTAAAAATCTGGTTCGGATCGGAATCATGGTAGCTTTTGTTTTGATTTCTATTCTCACTGGTATTTATGCCCGGATTCTTTTTGCGACGGAAAGGTATGTATACACCTATGTTTCTTTAGAAAATTGACCTAAATACGAGCATAGCTAAACTTCCTAAGGGGTTACACAGGTCAAAAAATTCACTGCAATTTTACTAAATTAAGGTTTAACCCGTGCTTTTTCTTCCTTGGGTCCATCCTCAGCCAATATCCACCAGTTCCTTCAGCACTTGCAAAATCCAACCCATTCAGAGTGAATACTGGCGTTTGGGCCGTCTGTTCTACGATTTTAGTCCAGTGCTATATCGGACTAGCAATAAGTAATTTAAATTCACCCCTACCCACCAATATTCCAAATGATTTCGCCACAATTTCATGTTCTGGTAAGACTCCAGTTTACGAGGGGAATGCATCTTTGGACGGAGGTCTGTTGTGGATGCGCTACAATTTTTTATGGAATTCACATCTTGCTCAGGCTCAAAACAACGATTTTTCCACACTACAAACAAATTATTTCAGTTTGCTTTCTCCCCCTACCATGAAGAATGTCGTGATTCCGAAGTTTATATACTACTATGAGCTACTACATATCTTTCGGAGTTCTTTGTCTATAATGAGTCAAAGTCCTGGATCGCTTACCGAAATCTTGTACCATATGATGGATACAAAAAAGAGGTTTTATCCAAGTCTGTACGAAAATGGAGCCGGTAGGAAATTGATTATTTTTTTTGTTTTGGGTTTGTATATTAGGAACGTCCATAATTTATGAGGAAAAAATATCAATTTTCCGAGATCTTCTCTAGTACTTGTCACACAAAACATTTACTTGCACTCTCCACCGCATAATTTATGGACATCCCTTTTCCCAAAATATATCATTCAAAACATATTCAACTTTCATTTGTAATGCGTATGTATTAATGCATATAATTTTTTCAGTTCGATACAATGATCTACTTGATACAAATGTCAGCTCAGCAATCGAAGAAGAAATCGTGACATGTGGTAAATCTGCCCTAATTGGAGAAAGAACAGAACTGCTAGCATATTTGCAATACTATGCAAAACATTATCCTGGGCTAAAGTTTAACCCAATTTCAAAGCAAACTCCACTCCCTGGAATATTAATCGGATGGTGCTTTGAGGCTACGCGGGGATCACCGGTAGTTAAAAGTTTCGTGGCTCTATTTGAATCAGGAATTTATGAAAAATTGAATGAGTTCTTGGGAATTAATGAAATGAAGCAACAATTAAAAAATACAAAAACAATAAAGCAGGGCTTACGTCGGGGAAGTGGAATTAGGCTTAGAATCGGTGGAGTTAGGCTAGTTGAAAACATTCAAACAGTGTTTATAATTTGGGCAGGATTAATAGCAATGGGTGGGATTATCTTTTTAGGCGAAATTCTTATTACGAATCATAGACGTAGTGTTACCATTTCGTAAGAATGAGGTTTATGCATATGTATTTCTACACAAGTTTCTAATGTGTATTAAATTAAATTTTAAGACTTTCGACAGTAAGTGTGAAATTTTTCAATTTTTTTCAAACATATGCTACTAATTAATGTGTAAAAAGCCAGGTCCGTTAGTTCCCCTTCTTCTCGCAAGATTTGGACAACACAACCATTGGAAATCAAGTGTGGAAATAACACCAAGCAGTATTTATATATATGTACTAGCCTATAAGCCCGTCTTTAAGACGGGCAACATTTCAAATTTTACAAGAACATTTCGTGTAAAAAGTATTCGTTTAACGTTGCTAAGAAAATTTTTTTATGTTGCTAAGTATTTTTTTTCGTTTCGTTTCGTATTGATGAAGAGCTGAAGACGCGGGCTACAGCCCTCGATTGCAGAACGCTCGGAATTCGTGGACAAATTGTCCTATCTCGTGGTCAAAGAATTTTTTAAAGCTTGCAGACTTCTGTGAGGCTTAGAACACACCTTTGTCCCTAATTTTGACCGTTTTTCACAGTCCAGAGATTCAAATCCAACAAGGAGCATGACAATTCCCAAGCGGAGATAATGTTCGGAATTTGGTTTTTTAGCCAACCTTCGCTCATTTTTTGCAATATTCAGTGGTACTGACAATGCGATGGTGTGAAGTGTAACCCTCCGATTTGGCTGAAATTTTGAAATTAGGTGGTCCATGTCAATACAACTAACGTTTCTTCAGCCAGTTTGTGCGATGGTTGGAGTTACTCAAAATATTTGAGGTCAAAGTTGAAAAAACGGCTAACTTTTTTCAGGCGGAGTGAGAAAACTCCACTTCCATTCTCTTCCCCTCGCATTGATTTTAACTCCGAAAAATTATAGATTTCATCAATGTTAATTTAATTTATGATAGAAAAACATTAATTATTCATTGCACATGCGTCTTGGTCTTTGTTTTCAAA